GACAGTGAGCTAGGGAAACATCTCTAATTCTAAAAGGCATAGGCAGAGGGGTGGAGATTTCAGATTTGCAGATAGTCGTGCAGCTTTCTGATCGTTTCCTCTGCCATTCCTTGGGTCTCCTAAATCATGACACGGAGCTGTAGCCTGAGATTGACTTATAAGAAAATTCGAAAATTGTGAGACAAGTAGTGAGAAAGAGAGAGATTTAAAACACATTTGCTTGAAGGCCAGGACTGGGTGCACACGGACACGGGTCTCTGTACACGGCAAGTGATACTGGGCATCCTCAGCACAGAGGCAGGCCCATCGAGTTTGGAAATGTATGTGGGCCTGTGCACAGAAAGCAAGGCTGTGCAGTTAACTTGTTAACTGCAGTAGCTCAGATCCATTTGAATGCATCACTGTGTGAGTATATTATACATGCTATTACCATCCATTGAAAGAAGATGTAATCTTTTCGAAATTCCCAAAGATATTTCTTACTATCTGTCTTCATAGAAAACAGATAAGAAATGAACTGGCCGTACCCTCATATCAAGAAGCTCCCCTGTAATTAAAGAAGCAGGCTTTCTTCTTTCAGAACTTTTTGATATGAATAATACATTTACTGTGTATTATTTTAATCAGCAAACACAGATTTGAGCTCATATATGAGCTCATACATGGATGATTCTAGGGGATTTCAACTACATGATGGACAAAAATAGTGCTCATTTTGTAGTGGGATGAGACAGTAAAAGTATAAACATATAAGCAGGCGTGCATCAAATGGTCTTGGTCTTGTGGAAAAAGCTAAGGCAGAAAAAGGGCTAGGAAGTGGAAGATAGTCATCATTTTTAACATGCCTGCCGTGGAAGGACTCTTAAGAGGTTAGCGTTTGTAAAGTTCTGAGAGCATATGAGAGAGAGGAATCTGGGGGAAAATACAGAGGCCCAAAGGTGGGTCTGGTTTGTTTTTTTTCCCTTTCCTGAGGACATTCATGGGGAGAGGGGAAGCACAGTAGGCCTGAGGGCAGCTGGGTGAGAGGCGAAGTTCAAATAGCAGCATTGCCAGTGGTGAGGATCCCGCAGGGCCTGTGTGCCACTCAAAGCACCTGGGCTTTGTTTGGAGTAATTTAAGACATACTGTCAGCTTGCGAGTCACGTCATATGACTTAATTTTAGTGGAGCCGTTTGAACTGCTATGAGAATAATGCAAGGGTTCAATGGTAGAAATTGGGAAATCCATTATTATAATATATATTTGAGACAGATGGTGACTTGAACCAGAATAGTAGCTGTGAGATTGGAATGAGTTAAGTGGATTCTGAGATATTTTGAATGCAGAGCCAGTCAAGTGGCCTTTCTGATGGCTTGACGCCAGGGAATGAAATCGTGTAATTAAACTGATTGCAAGAGAATAGGCATGGGGCAGTGTGTTCCCAATTGGACACTTTTGACCTAGTTTCTATTCAGCCCTTGGTGACCCAGGCTGTGTGCTAGAGATTACGGGACTTCAGGCTCTTCTTTTGAGTCACACAGCATCCTTCGCAGATCACACCAGAAAGACTCAATGTGGAAACCCCACTAACTGAACGAGGGTTTACCTCGAACTCACCTGTAGCCTTTGGCTTTAAAGCTGACGCTCTCTAGTGAGAAAAACTGGATGAGAAGCTCTCCCAGGGTACAAACTGGCAGTCATTGGGCTTGTTCAGCACTCTTGCCTTGAGAGTGCCCAATGAATTTAATGCTCTCCTTGCTTTATTATGACTTATTAATCTGGTAGGTGTGGATCTGCCATTGTGAATGAAAATTATTGAAAGTCATTCCCTATCATCAACCCCCGTTGTTTGA